ACACACACACACACACACACACTCCTATATCATTGGTATAAAAGTGAGAAGGGGATATGAACACATTCCAATCTTTTTGAAGACCCTCTTATCATATTTTAGCATAATAACATTATAGATTGACTGGATGATTAACAAATAAAATTTTACCAGGTAAATTATTTTATACTATGTTTTTTTGTGGTCTAAAATTTTACCTGATAAGTACATAATAATGTTAAATTTTATCGATAAACATTTATCGGATAAATGTTTAATAAACGCCATTACTATAAAAATGAAGAATGAATGATGGATTAATTGAGTCAAATTTTATATAATTATGTATTGATTAAGGGGATGTACGTGAAAGTGTCGGTGGCACATGAAATATGGTAGCATTAGAATAATCAAAAATAGAAAGGTTTTGGTTGACTCAATTGCTTCATATTTTTCTATTTATTATTATTTTATTGGATTTTAATATTTGTATAAAATCCATTGATCTCAGATCCTATGCGACATCCCACTTGCGTTTCAATTATTTGATTTTTATTATTTACTTAGTGCAATTTACTTTTAATATTTGTCTAACTTCTATTTATAGTAACATGAAATGCAATTTACTTTTAATATTTGTATAACTTCTATTTATAGTAACATGAAATATATTATCTTTTAACAATTAACATTACATTAGACTTCTATTTATAGTAACATGAAATATATTATCTTTTAACAATTAACATTACATTAGAAATTGTTTAGTTTTGCTAGTTTTTGAGAAAGCATCTTACGAAAATAATACAACTGTTAAAAATAAGAAAAGAAAAAGAATCAAGCCCCACGATAGCAAGCGGAACTGCGAGATGCAATGGGGGCGTAAAAAAGGGGAAAAGGTTGTACAATTAGGGGTCATTTACTAAACGTTTACCTGATAAGTGCTTGTTGGGTAATTTTCCTTACCAGATTAACATGACAAGGGTCAAAAATCTTACCCGGTAAAAGCAATGATAAAGATGAAGAGTCTTACTCGGTAAATGATAGTGATGGCTCTTCGCCGGGTAAACGTTTACCGGGTAAATTGTTAAATACAATATCATTTTGTTGTACTACAATCTTATCAAGTAAAATAAATTACATTGTTGACTCATAACGGTAAACACTTACCGGATAAACATCTAGATAAACGGCCCCTTAATCTTGCTATTTAATTTTGTTAAGAACGTAATTTTCTATTTTTTAAATACAAAAGATATAATAAATATTTAAGTAAATATTTGCGTTTTCTCGAATTCTATTAAAAGGAAATGTGATCTAATTCAATTGTTATTTTAGAAATGTTTAATAATGTGTAGCTTAAAAAGTGTATATTTTCAAAAACAAACTTACGATCATTTACTTAAATACTTACCAAGTAAAAGCTAACCGATAAAATTCAGCATTATCATTTCCTTCAAGCGTAAGATGCAACAATTTACCCAGTAAACACTAATTAGATAAGACTCGTCGCCATCGCTTGTCGAGTAAACTCTCGATTATTATTTTCGTTCTCATCGGATAAGATTATTGATCATTGACATATTCACTTAATTATGAAAAAGACACCTAAAATGTACACCATTGTTCAACTATAAATGGTTAAATATATGTTTTTCTAACTATAAACACATAAAATATATTATTAAACCTCTGATTGGTTTGAGTTTGGCTTCAAAAGTCAAAAGTAACAGGAGGTCCCAGATTCAAATTCAATGTGAATAAAAATCTTTTTATGGCCACAGAGGTTCAAATGTGGTGACTCCGGGTTATCTGCAAAGTAAGTGGTCTTATGAAATTTTTTTATGAAATTGTTTCTTATAATACTTTTTTGATGAATATGTTTCATATATAGTTATGAAATTGTTTCATATAATATTTAATGAAATTTTAATGAAACTGTTTCATGTATTTCTTTAAAATTAAAATAATGAAGATGATAATATCCATGAGTAACACCCTTCACAATAAAAATAGTTAATCAACCTCTCATAATTACAACAAAATGAACAAAATGAAAAATTATGATTGGTTGAATTGAGTTTTCACGATTTTTACGAATTGAGTGGTTTTTATTTGAACGCTATATATATATATAGGGGAACGTTCAAATAAAAACCACCTAATTTGTACAAACCGTACAAACTTCATTCAACTAATCATAATTTTTCATTTTGTTCATTTTTTTTTGTAATTATGAGAGATTGATTAATCATTTTTATTGTGGATGATGTTAATCTTGGATATTATCATCTTCATTTTTTTAATTTTAAAGAAATACATGAAACAGTTTCATTAATTTTAGAGAAATACATGAAACAGTTTCATTAATTTTAGAAAAATACATGAAACAGTTTCATTAAGTAGTATATGAAACAATTTCATAACCATATATGAAACAATTTCATAACCATATATGAAACAGCTTCATCAAAAAAAGTATTATATGAAACCATTTCACAAGATTAAACAATTTCATGAAAAAATTTCATAAGATTAAACAATGAAATCGACGAATGAAAGTAGTTTTTACGGTTTTTACAAATTGGAGTGGTTTTCATTTGATCGCTCATATATATATATATATATATATATATATATATATATATATTATTTTTTTATCCAAAACAATAATTAAATATATCTGTCCATTTCCATAAATAAAGTGATGGACTGCAATAATGACAAATCATTGATGCATTTTTTTTTCTTCATTTTTGTACAAGTCAAAATGCATGATCTTATTGCCAAATATATGATGGATATTTAATAAAAAAAAGTCATTTTCGTATTATTGTGGTTATATCTAAAATTCATTATTAAAAAGTTTATTTTTATGATAATTCACTCCTATTTATTATTTGAAAAAATAATATATAAAATAAGAATGTATATAAATAATCGTGTTTCCATTATACAATAATTATTGAATAGCAGTTCAAAATTCAATAAACTAAACTGATCCAACCAAATTATCATCAAACTATCATCCAACTAATTATCGTATATATTTATTAACATTTTATGATAGTTTTTTAATTAATATTTATATGTTAATATTTTTAATAACTTAAGAAAATTCATGAACAATTGGATGAAAATTAGATTAAAATATTAGATTAATCCAATGGATAACCAGTAGTAAAGTCCAATCGGAGAAACCAGAACGATCTAATTATCTATTGGATCTGGTCGGGTATCCAATTTTAATAGAGTTGGATCGGATGATAAAATCAACACCCCATAAATAATTGGATTGGATTGGATTGAATTCACCTAAATATATTGGATTTCAACTAATGAACTCCTAATACACGATGTGTTTAAATAACTATATAAATAAGAAAAACCCTAAATCATTTATCGTGAAGAATTTGTGTATTCAATAAAAGTGAAGTGTTTATTTTAGAACATTTACAAAACTTGACATTTGTAAATGAGAAAAAGAAGAACTCGATATGAATAAATAAAATTTCAAGTGGGCAATTGTGATCATTTGCAGGCTTGAGTTGAGCCCGGGTCGGGTCTAACTTGTTTTCTTTGTCCAACGGGTCTAATATTATAAACTCAAGTCTTTTTTTACGGGTTTGACAATTTGCCATTGTCAGCCCTATAAATGAGTTGTGTTTGCCCACGGGCCTAAAAAGTGTAACTCTTATAAATTTATAAATTTGGTCACTAGCAATTAATTAACAAATGTGGAACCAATAAGTAAAGGAAAAACACCGTTGCAATTATAATTTTAAGCAAGTAAAGTGAAATGGATCTCAACAAATATAAACCAAAGAGTCACATCCTATAACTTTTAATAATTTAATTTTAAAATGCACTAATACAATTTTAATTAATGGTAAAAAAATATTAATTGTAAAATATGAACGGTTCGGGCGGACATGTTTATATTTATTTTTACATTCTAACGAACAAACCCGGACCCGTTCATTTTCTCGATAATGGTGTTGTCGAAGCCCGTATTTCTATCGGGCCAGATGAGCCGGGTCTAGCGGATCATCCCGTCCATGAACAACCCTTAGAGGTAGGGACCGATTCCACAACTTTCCTATAACCAGAGGGACGAAATTTGTAATTAACTCTTAGTTAAAAAAAAGGGGGGCGTTGAAAAGAAGATGCACCGGAATAGGAACAAGAATAAACCCGTAAATAAGTCACACGTGCCGAGCGGGGGTTATGTCGTTGAAGGGTAGCATTGGATACTGCTGCCTCATACAACTTGCCTGTGCCCTCCTACTTTTTATTTTATTTTTTATTTTCTTTTAAATTCCCGCCATCTTCCATTTAAATGTAAAAAAACATGACATTTTTTAATTATAATATCTCATATTTGTTTTATTAACTCTATTATTTTATATATTTAAATCATTTCTTTCAATCAAAATATTTTAAAATAAAATTGTGATGGAAGAAAAGTTGATTTTAGGAGAGCAAAATATATTAAAATGAAATAAAAATTGATTTAGTTGTTATTTAATATAATGATATATTTTTTTAATCGACGTAACAAATTTTTAAAGTTCTTATATTAAACTCATTTTATCTGATTATATGTTCATCTTGTTATGGATAGAATTTATGAAAAGTTTACGATGAAATGGACGACAGATTTGATATTCATGTTACCAAAATTTACGTTAAGTATGAATTTTTGAAACTTTCTTACATCGCTTGAGAAATTTCGAAATAAGAAAATTTTAAATTATGTTGCATTTGTTGAAAAATTAGAGAAAAGGTTCAAAAAAAAAAACCAACGAACTATTCTATTTGTGATGCTTATTCCCAGATACCATTATTGCTTCTTCTCCGGGAAAAGAGAATGATTAAGTCTCTGATCTATTTTTTTTGATGAAAAATCATTAAGTGTTCTCATTTTCTATGATTAAGTCTCGGAACTATTTTTCTTGAATGAAAAAACCATTAAACTTTTTTCATCTTACTTGAAGTCTCTAGACATATTTTTCAACAAAATAAAAACTTTTAAAGATTAGTTATTTATATTATTTTAACCCAAAATAAACTAACTGTAATGGACTAGAATGGTCTTAAAGTAAAATTATTTGTAACCCTTTAAAAATAGATCAAAAAGACGGAGATTGATGTAGAGTTTAAAAACAGTGAAATTGATTTAGGTTTTATTTTACTTTAAAACATTTCTAGTCAGTTACAAGTAGTTTTTTTTGTTAAAAGAATGTAGGTAACCAATTTTTAAAAAAGTTCAATGATTTTTTTATTACAAAAATTGTTCAGAAACCTAATTATTTAAAATGAGAAAGTTTAATTATTATTTTTTTCATTCAAAAACTTAATAATTTAAAATTAGAAAGTTTAATAGTTTTTTCAATCAAAATAATAATTTAAAAACTTAATTATTCAAAATAAGATAGTTCGTTGGATTTTCTGAACTTTTCCCAAAAAATTATTACACTAATAAATAATTAAAACAAATTTTGTTACATTTTAATATATTTTTTAATTTTAAAAATATTATATTTACAGCAATAATACGTCTATTTTTATGGGTTTGGGACCGTATCTTAAATGTTACTCCATGTGTTCTAATAACATATACGTTTGGTGATTTTTTTTTGTTTGATAAATATATTTATTAAATTATATTATATTATATTAAACGTGTTTGAAACCTTGTCTTTATTTCTAAAAATCAATTAATGAGATAAAAGTAGAAGGACTTTATGTTATTATAGGGTTGGGTTTCAATTATAATGAAAATTATGTTGAGAAAAGTAAAAAGTGATTTCCACCTTTGGATCAATTCTAATTGAAGAGAACCACTAAACCAATTCTTTTCTAAAATGCAATTTATGGGTTGTTCTAGAATTAAAAGTGATTAATGGTTAACCACAAGGGTGATATCTGATTGGTTTGAGCTTGGCTTCAAAGGTCAAAAGTATCATGAGGTCTCAGGTTCATATCCAATGAGTAATAAAAATCTCTTTGTGGCCACATAGGTTCAAATGCGGTGACTTTGGACAATCTGCAAAGCAGGTGGTCGCCCTGGGATTAGTCAGCTCGCATAACAGGTTGGATATCTTGGTTAATAAAAAATATGATTAATGGTCTAAATCTTTTCTTACACTTCTCACCTTAACGCGTATTCTCACACGATCCTTCATCTATTGTTGTATACCTATATATTTGAAAATGATATCGGATGTATTTAATCCAACTAATTATGGAATAATATAAAACACTGTTAATATAATTCAGATAATGTTTAATCCTTTTAATCAACATGAATTATAGCGTAGGCTCGATCCCTTGGGCCAACCTTAGGCTGGCACCCCTTCAAAGTGTAATGGACGTCACCAACCTAGACTAAGTTAGCCTTGTTGATCACCCGTTGATCCCGTCCATGAAATCAAAATCCCTCAAAATCTTCCATCAAACCAAATGGGAGTCCCATTTAGTTTGTGGGATTCAATTGGATTGAGAGGGATTTGAAATTGAATTTTATTACAATCCCATGTTTGATTTGTAGGATTTCTGGATTTGAAATCTTAAAATCCCGCAAACTTAGGAAATCCCACGAGAGTGGTTTGTATTTCACGAGGTTTCATGTAATTTGTATGTAATAATGTTTTAAAATATGTTAAACATTTTTATTTTTGTAATATTCAATTAATGAAACGATCATTTATGTTATAAAGGTTAGGTGTTTTTTGTAGTTTCACAGTGTTTTGCTGTGAAAGTTTACTATTATTTATATCGTCTTATGAGTCTCACAAAAACAGTATGATCTTACATGATCCTATATATGGAGGTTCGACCGAGAATGTTATAAAAATAAAAAAAATGAGATGATGAATCTCCGTCAATCATTTATTTACGTCATTCTTTTAATTAATTTCTTTTAAAAAATCATCTAAAAGGACGATATCTGTCATTTGTTGCATATAGATTATATATGAAAATTTATTTATTTTTATAAGAGTTATTTAATGCATTTAATTAAGTTTTTTTTATTTACCATTTTCATGACTTAAGCATGATTAATTTTTCATTTAACTTTTTATTTTATTTTATATGACATTTGAAACAAACTTGATTTAGTTTTCATTTAAAATATTTATTTTTTTATTTAAGTAAATTATTTAAGATTTTTTTTACAATTTTTGTCAAAAATCGTATACAATATCCATAATTAATTAGTGTTTTATGATCGGTAATTTCATCAAATGTCAGATGTGATATTGGGCATAGTAAGTTTAAGTGGAAAGAAATACAAGTTATCCACAACATTACATGTGATATTTATCACATGTGATCTTATATATATTAAATCTATTATGATACATATCACATGTGATTTTGTTTCCATTTTTTTTCAAGTATTTAATTTGAATCATTGTTTTCACATTTTAAATCACGTATGATTAAGAAAAAAAATTGAAAATCTTTTTCTTTTTGGAAAAAAAGTCAATTAATTATAAATCACAATTGATTTTGATAAAAATAGATTTTTTTTATTATAATTATTGCATTAAATAAAAAACAAATCCTTTAAATGAAAATCAAATTTTCCTGATTTTAAATGTCTTAAATAGAAAAAAAGTTAAATAAAAGGAAAAATACTAAATAAATATCTTGAATAACTTTTATATAAATAACTGATTTTTATAACTTTATTTATTTATTTTTAAATTTTTTTATTTAAGACGTAATTTAATCAATTTTAAGTAGAATTAAGATGAGAAGTGTAAGAAAAGATATGAACCGTTGATCACCTTTAATCTTAAATCGATTTATGAATTGCATTTGATATAAAAATCTTTTCTTACGTTTCTCACCTTAAATCTCAAACCGGATCCTCAATTTTAATATGTAAAAGATTGAGAATCGTGCATGATATACAGCTTGCAAGGCAGCATCTTGTGCGGACAGATCTGAAAAATCTGATCTTAAAAGCGACGAGCTTTATATCTTGTGTGTATATATCTCCCCCCTTCCATTTTTATCCATTTGCATTCTTCTTCGATTCCATTCTTCTTCACCATTAAAGCAAAAACCCCATAAAAGAAGCCAAGAAAACATAAATCTTATCAAACCAAACACCGACTTACTGCAACATCTCCCTCCCTGTTTCACCATCCATTGATTCACACAGGATGAAGCAATGGGGTATGAAGACGCCATTAATGGTGTTCCTGCTGATAGCAATGGCAGCACGTATCAACGGGGAAGACCCTTATAGATTCTTCAACTGGAATGTTACTTATGGTGATATCTACCCTCTTGGAGTTAAACAACAGGTATATATATATATATATATATATATATATACATACACACACACACACACATATATATATATATATATACATATTTCCAATTTGTTCTTGATTTCATTTTAAATCCCATTTCTGCTGTAGATCTAAATTGAATTCATACATTTGGGGTTACAGGGGATTTTGATAAACGGGCAATTTCCAGGCCCGCAAATCGATTGTGTGACTAATGATAATGTGATTGTTAGTGTTGTGAATAGCTTGGATGAACCTTTCCTCATTACCTGGTCAGTTCTTATCTGTTCTTGTTAATATGTTTCTGAATTCATGTTTATAACACGAATTGAGTTTATAGCACAATTTCGTGAACCATTTGAAGTGATAATTTCATGGTGTATGGATCAGGAATGGAATCCAGCAGAGGAGGAATTCATGGCAGGATGGAGTTTATGGCACAAATTGCCCAATCCCACCTGGTCAAAACTTCACTTACATTCTTCAAGTTAAGGATCAAATTGGTAGCTTCTTCTACTTCCCTTCCCTTGCTTTTCACAAGGCCGCCGGAGGGTTCGGTGGCATCACCATTTCCAGCCGTCCTATGATTCCGGTCCCTTTCCCGCCACCGGCTGCAGATTACACCATTCTCGCCGGCGACTGGTTCAAGCAAAACCACACTGTGAGTAGTTTATCACTCGTACTATTACTAACAACTGATTCGAGTTTTGATGCTGTTGATCGTAATCCACATGAAAACTTTCAGGATTTGAAAGCGATTCTAGACGGAGGCTCTGATCTTCCGTTTCCCGATGGTCTTCTCATCAATGGCCGTGGATCAAACGGATTTACATTCAACGTTGATCAAGGTAAAACTTACAGATTGAGGATTTCGAACGTGGGGATGAGTACATCGATCAATTTTAGGATCCAGGGGCATAAAATGCTGCTAGTTGAGGTCGAAGGGACTCACAGTCTTCAAAACACGTATTCTTCTCTTGATATCCATCTCGGTCAGACGTACTCCGTCTTGGTCACCGCCGATCAACCTCCGCAGAATTACTTCATGGTGGTGTCAACCCGATTCACCTCTCAAATCCTCTCCGCAACCTCCATTCTTCATTACAGCAACTCTCCGGGAACTTTTCCGGCTCCTCCCCCCGGTGGTCCTACCATCCAAATCGACTGGTCTTTAAATCAAGCACGGTCCATAAGGTATATACATACATACATGATACATATATATAGACTTAGAATCGTGACACCTGGTTGTTTTTGTATGACCCGTGAAACCACCTAAATAACAGTAGAAGTTTGAAGAGTTTTTTATCTTCACAATGTTTTTATTTTCCTCAAACTTTTAAATGGAAAATAGGTGAAATATAGCAAAAATTGGAGCGAAACAAAATACACCAAATAAACAATCACTTTATTATCTTTAATTTGACATTTATTTTAATATATTTTTTCATCCTTTTTTTCGGGTTTTTTTTCAAGGTTCTCGCTTGATCTTTACTGTATATATATACATACATATATATATATATAGAGAGAGAGGTGAAAGATTGTGTAAGAAAGGAAGTTACGGTAAGAAGCGTAAAAAGATTTGAACCCTTGTTTACTTTTAATCTCATATCCACCCATAAAATATGTTTTGAAAAAGAATTGATATGTTGCATCTCGGTGTACCTCATTAGTGTTAGACATTTAATTATGATTGATCCAATGATAAAGGTTTCTTCTAACACCTTTTCACCGTAATTTCTCTTCTTGCCGGAATCCATCCATATATACATATACATATATACTTTGTATAATGCTACTTATTGCTGGCTAGTAATCAGATTCTAGATAACATTGAAGGTAATCGGTTGTATTCAACAGGCAAAACTTAACGGCGAGTGGTCCGAGGCCGAACCCACAAGGTTCGTACCATTACGGGATGGTTAACTTCACTCGAACCATCAGGCTGGCTAACTCTGCTCCCGTTATCAATGGCAAGCAGAGGTATGCTGTCAACAGCGTGTCGTTTATTCCGGCGGACACACCTCTGAAGATTGCTGATTATTTCAAGATCTCCGGTGTGTTTTCCCTGGGAAGCATTTCCGACAGCCCCACCGGCGGTGGTGGTTACCTCCAGACTTCAGTCATGGCGGCTGATTTCAGAGGGTTTGCTGAGATTGTGTTTGAGAACTCCGAAGATACCGTACAGTCATGGCATATTGATGGCCACTTCTTCTTTGTCGTAGGGTAAGCTCAAACCCCTTTTTCTAATTACTTCAAGAGACATATCTTATTGGATAAATATTCATAATGAATGTCGTCATATTTCTTATTATTCGAAGTTATTCATCTGTGAATATATAAAATATGGAGTTCTAAACTATAACTTGGTTGAACGAACAGGATGGATGGAGGGCAATGGTCCGCTTCAAGCAGAACAAGTTACAATTTAAGAGATGGGATTTCCCGCTCTACGGTTCAGGTACCGAACGTTCAGTTGAACGATTGTACGACATACTTCATTGGCGGATGTTGTAGAACGTATTTTTGTTTACTAAATCTAGGATGTGTTTTATCGAACAGGTATATCCGAACTCATGGACTGCGTTGTACGTGCCATTGGATAATGTAGGAATGTGGAACATAAGATCTCAGAATTGGGCTCGACAATACTTAGGCCAACAGTTTTACCTTCGAGTTTATTCACCTGTGAATTCTTGGAGAGACGAATACCCGATCCCCAAGAATGCTATTACTTGCGGCAGAGCGAGTGGTCGCAAGACTCGTCCTCTATGATTGGAGGCACACGGCGTAGAAATCGTCACGAAAGGGTGACTAGTTCTATATATATTGAGTTACATTGAAATTTTATCGTGTCATTTTAGTTTTTCCAATTCTATCGATTATAAGTGATCACTTGATGTTTTTGATGTTGTTTTAAGAAACTATGCCAAAGTATTTAATGAACCAAATATCTATAAAATATTCTCGAAGATTTAGGCAAATTAAGGTGATTTTTTAACAGTAACGAGATTTTATTAAAAAAACTAGCAAGACGCTAAAACAAACGATCATATACAGGAAATCGTTAGGACCAGGTTACCGATCCAATGCTCCCGATTAATCTTAAACTAGAAACCCAAAAATACGTCCGAGTCACAATCACGTCAAAGATATTTGGCTTCTTTAGGTTGGTCTCACCGACAATGGTCACATTTTGGAACAACCATATATACCAAAGCGTAGTGAGAATAATTGCCTCGGAGCACGCTTTCTCTCCACTCTTCAACTGCGAATTTGAAAACCATGTAATCCGAGCTACATAAGAACTCAACACGGGATATCCAACTGTCACTATCTGCCAATTTGTTTCTAAATCTCAGTTGCCAAAAAGCAATAGAAAAACAAATGATCTCTTGACTCCGAACCCATATCACATAGAGGACAGAGCGATGATCCAACATCAATCCCTCTCCTATCCAAATTATCCCTAGTGGCTATCCCGTTCAAACCCAAACGCCAAACAAAAACATTAACCTTAACAGGAACTAGAGAATGGCCAAAAACCGGTCCCGGTCCCGGTCGAAAATGATAGGACTGGTCAAGGTACTTCATAATCGGTTATGGGCCGCCGGTCCCGGTCCCGGTCCCAACCGGTCCTTGCATTAAAAATAAGATTTTTTTAATGATATATATTTTTTATACATTATAAAATTTACAATTGGGTCACTCAAATACACTTTAAAAATACGTTTTAATATAATTAAAATTACGTTTTCTTATAAAAATACATTATAAAATTATTTAAAAATACATTATTTATAAAATTATTTGAATTTTCGGGCCGGGCCGGGCCGGTCTATAGTCGGTCTCATAACGGGTCCCGGTTCCGATCGGTCCTGGTCCCATGAAACTACCAAAAACCTCAACCGGTCCCAGTTTTCGGTCCCATAACCGGTCCCGGTCCGGTCCTTTGTCGGTCTCGGGCCGGGCCGATTTGGCCGTCTCTAACAGAAACTAACCGGTTTCATCTAGTACCAATCGAGTCCACAACCAACAATCTGGTTTTCTAGTTTTTGGTTGAAGAATGGGGAGAAACTGCGATTTGAGGCAGGTATTTTCAGCATGTTAATTGATGAACAAATTCAAACTTGAAAAGGATCGAGTTTTCCGAAAAAACCTGCTAGTGGAGGAAGAATCAAAATAATTTTGTTTAAAGTTTCACTTAAAATTTAAAAATTCAAATTGTAATACAAAATTGATGCTAACATGTGACAGAGTTGTGGAACTTGGTCAGCGAAATCAAAGAAAAAGGGTTTCGGTTCAAGTTTAGTATCAACCGTAGAACTGAGAAATCCGAAAGATTTGAAAGTTAATCAAGTTAAAATTAACCTAGCTAGGTGAAGATATTCAAATGGGCTCGGGCCTGGTTAAGAAAAGTGTGGTCGGAAGAGAACCGGTTACTGATTTTTGAGCACATACCAATTACATGAAAGGTTATACATTGCAACATATAACATTAATACTAAGAGATGAAGGTTCAAATAAGAACAAAGTCAAAGTAAGAAAACACGAGAACATCTACATCAAATATAATTCTATACTGAAATCACATGCGATATAAGTGTTCTTGTGTTTTCTTATTTGACCATTTTCTCGATTGAACCCAACCCTTATGTGTTAGTTAGTGTGTGTATGTATGTATAACACATACACATATACCTACACGGGGCATTATCAAATGAGAGCCCTCGATTACTGATAGAACCGTGAGAACTTTACCTTAAGGTATTGGTTTACATGATATTTTTTCATATAATATTGATTAACGTATATTTGTTTTACAACGTGTTTGTTTCACTATATGAAACTTGTCTGTGTAACACGTAAAAAAGTTTCACATTCTGAAATAAATTCATGTGATGTACACACACACACACACACATATATATATATATATATATATATATATATATACATACATACATACATATATCTTAATCAATACCGTAAATTCTATCATTAGATGAAAAAAATCATATAACACAATACATAATAAATTGGTTATCTGGGTTCTCAAAATTTTGTTGGTTCTCATATGATAAGCCATGCCTACATGATATACGTTTATGAAATATATAAAATAAGATATTTGAAAAAAAAATCACAGATAAGATCCACTAAGGCCCAAGGCCCATCATTTAAGATCTCCATGTATTTTCGATTACTCGTTTCGGAGTTTCGGGCACTAGACCAATTATTACACATGGACCGAATGTTCGAGACTGATTAAGGTCAACTAGAGGCCCATTACGGAACATCTCTATAGCCAGATAATATTCGGTATCATATGCTACATGTTACAGGTTATTTTTTAATGATTTCGGTTATAATTGCTTGACATCTTGGTGACAAACTTAACAACGATGTATGGGTTAAAAGTCATTTTGCATGTAAAATCTAGCAAAGATTCAAGTTGATCAAAGTTTGGTATGTTGTTAGAAGATCAAACACATACTGATAGAGAAGTTTCGGCCTTGAATGATTAATCTGATGTATAAAATCATGCCTCACCCCTACTGGCCACCTACTAGAAAATGTGACACGCTTTACAGATCTTATAACATATTTGACGCAATATGAAGGCCCTTGCTATGTATACTAGGGTTTTCATCATTTTCTAAACCGAACTGGCGTAATCGATCTGTGTGCCAATGCAAATACCAAAAATATAGTTTCATGCATAACATAACTGATATATCAAAACACTTTTAGCAAGCTAAAATGTGTAACATATAATAGAAATTGTTTTGTTTAATACCGATAGGTTTGAGTCCCCAGTGATTAGACGATTAAACATGTGACTGGAAACGATGCGTAATCAACAAGTAAATACGGTGCGTAAAAATTGTAAAGAACATGTTATGGTTAGTGATGGAAAACCTCGTAAATAAATAAAAACCATCGATTCATTAATAAAGAGTTTTGACGTTAAATTACGTGGTATGCAGAAACAGATGTATCTATTTAATGACAATAGCCAATAGGGGGCATGGCCCCCCTTATTTTCAAAGTGCTTAGTAGCCTTGTTTTTGTTCATATATATGCCCCTCTAGTAGTCCCACTTCACTTCCAAGAGTTCACCATTATCTAAAATTTCAAGATTTCAATTTAAAATCCTTTCATTCATAGTTGATTCTTAATTCCTTGACTAAATCTACTAATCTATGTAATAAACATTACAATAAAATTGGGTTTATAGGACACTCTCAATCTCTAAGCATCATAATAGACCGTTTTATAGGACCAAAATATAAAATGTTTTTATCTAAAAGTGTTGTAATAAGTTTATATGACGTTTTTGGATGTCTTAACAAGTTTTTTTAGAACATTTTTAATACAAAGTGTCGCATTAGCAACTTTATAGGACACTATTGAGAAAGTGTCTTATAAACTCAATTTTTTATAGGACATTTGTTTTTATAGGACAATTTTTTAAATAGCGACCTATAAAGCTGTTAATGAGATGCTTTATATTAAAAGTGTTCTAAAAAACTTATTACGATGTTAAAAATGTCATATAAGCTTGTTACAACGCCTTTAGATAGGACGTTTTATTTTTTTGGTCCTATAAACTAAGTCTTATAAAGAGGTCTAGTAGGACGTTTAGAAATTGGGAGTGTCCTATAAACCTGATTTTGTTGTAGTGAAAATTGGGTTTATAAGACACTAACAAAATTCAAATGTTTTAATATATCGTTTTATAAGTCTTAAGTTCACTATAAAACAAGGGGCTTTTACCAACGGAAAAAGCCGTTGATAATCCGTCTATCAAAGTCTGTTGGTAGAAAAGCCATAGGAAAATGCATCATTGACGGATCACCGACCAATATAACGATAGGTCCCCGACGGTAGGTGTTGCCGATGGCTAATAATACCGAGACGATACCGACGGCCAAAAAGCAAAAAATAATATAATTTAAGTACCGACGGAAAAATCTGATTTTTAGAAAATAAATAAATATAAAGAGGGAAGAAAATCTTGTAGGGGGAATTCAAGTTATATTAATTTATAAGTATTGATGTTTTAAATTTATTACAACAAAATTGGATTTATAGGACACTAATAATTTTTAAACGTTATAATAAAACATTTTATATAACTTAATTTATATGATAGAAAATTAAAGTATCTTATCTAAAGGCGTTGTAATAAATTTATAGATGCTTTCAAGCGTCTTAACATGGTTTTTGGAAGACTATTAATATAAAGCGTCGCATTAGCAATTTTATAAGGTAGTTTTGGAAAATGTCCTATAAACTCATCTTTTTTGTAAGACATTTGTTTTTATAGAACATTTTTTCAAATAATGTCATATATAAAAATTGTTAATAAGACGTTTTATATTAAAAGTGTCCTGAAAAACTTGTTAAGATGCCTAAAAGTGTCATATAAACTTATTACAATACACTTAGATAAGACGCTTTATTTTTTGTCCTATAAATTAAGTCCTATAAACTTGTCTATTAAAACACTTAAATTTTTTGACGTCTATAAATATAATTTTGTTATAGTGATTATATATATATATATATATATATATTAGAAGAATACTCACATAATGCAACGAGATACATTTCGATTTTAATATTTTGTTTTACTTTTTTGTTTCAATCAATGTTATAATACAGTTTTATGTGGTTTTGAGGAAAAAAAAATAATGTTTTTACTTTTTATAAAAATATAAATATAAAGATATTTCATAAAAAACTAAAAAAATATTGATATTGATATTGATATCAAAATAACTATTTAAAATTTCTCTTTTTTGTGTATTTCTTTAATTTATTTTTGGTATAATAATATAACTTTTTATAAAGATAATAATTAAGTATTTTGTTAGAACTCAATAATTATCTTAATTATATTTTAGATTTTTTATATTTAAAATGAGATGTTTATCACTTATTTGATTATGTTTATCTGCAATTAGTTACACGAATTCAAACATGAAGCTTTGATAAGTTGTACTTACGCACAATTTACTTGTAATCTTGAATTTAAGTAATATGCATCAATAAACAATACTTCATGCTTAAAAAATTGTTTTTAAGAGTTTTTGTCAAATGCTTTATAATATAGTATATATATATATATATATATATATATATATATATATATATAGGATGGGATACTTTGCAAACCAATCCATTTGTGCTAACCGTGAAAACCATCGATTTCATCATTTATTTTAGTGAATTTTTTTCATGAAATTGTTTAATATGATGAAATTGTTTCAAATAGTTCATTTCAAATAATTATGGACATTATCATCTTCATCTATTAATTTTAGTAAACAAATTTCATCAAATCTAAGAAACACATAAAACAATTTCATTTTTATCTAAAAACAAAATATATGAAACATTTTCATCATGAAAAAAAATCACATATTCACCAAATTAAATGGACGGTTGAGATTAAGTTGTATTGGTTGTACAAATGTAAAGAGTTGTATAATAACTCACCTCTACATACGGTTGAGATTGAGTTGTATTGGTTGTATAAATGAAGTCTCATCATTTCTATAAATATCTCAATTAATTGGGTTACATTAGTTGTACAAATGTAAAATATTGCATTTGAAACATGCTCTATGTATGTATAATATGTGATAAGGTTAAGGGAAATGCTAAATAAATAGAAAATCGAAAAAACATTAAAAATAACAATTATTTACCATTGTAATTCCTTGGAGTTTTGAATCTTTATAGCAACATTTGGGTTAACTCACTAAAATAAAATCGTGTTAATTCATTATAACAAAATTGAGTTTATAGGATATATACCATCAATTGTTAAACGTCCTATTAGACTATTTTATAAGATTTAGTTTATACGACCCAAAATTTAAGCGTCCTATTTAGAGGCGATGTAATAAGTTTATAAAACATTTTTTTTTCAGATAATGTCCTTTAAAATTCCTAATGAGACTTTTTGTATTAAAAGTGTCATAAAAAATTGTTAAAACGTTAAAAAACGTCATATAAACTTATTAAAACGCTTAATTTTTTTTGACGTCCTATAAACCCGATTTTATTGTAGTAAGTTGTATAACTTTTAAACCTTCTTGTTGATATGATATCCAAGAAAAATGCAAGAAGATGTTCTAGAATTATACTTGTCTAAGCGATCTTTCAGTGTAGATGCATACCACAAGAAATAAAAAGGTTATGATGCTCGTGTTCCGTCTGGTTATATGTTATAATAAGTTAGCAAACGTTCGAGATAACAAATTAATCAAGTAAAAAGGATCATTAACATGTGTAAAAGTACGTTGCCTTGCCCCTCCCTTCTATATGAGTTCCATCCTTGTAGTCGTTATACAATTCCCAAGATCTTGAGGAGGGAGTTGGTCTCACACGTGGGACGGATTTCCTTGTTTTGATTGGTTCAGTCGGGTGTAAATTCCTTTGATGTACGTTGTCAACAGTATCAGTGTATGAAATCGTTGTTGTGGCCACCTCATTTGTCACTACGACTATTGTCGTCAATGTAACCTGTCATCATGGCCCTTTTATCGATAGTTTGGAGTACATGTGTTGTCTCCAATGCCATTGTCATCAACTTGTGCCCTCGATTACAAGGAGAGGCGACATGGTCATGCCATCATGCCAATCCTACACGATCACGCCAAATGCACTTGCTATGCTATGAGTTCCACAAGTCGACTATCCTCGTTGTATGTGTATGTATATAAGTGTGTATATATATGTATATATATATATATATATATTATCTCGATTTAGTACCAAATCAGGCCATATTATTTGTTTTTCTTTCGTTACAATGAGAAACATGCATTTGTTTCATCATGTAAACCAATGACTTTAAAGCCTCACGTTGAACATAGAGCCACACTTATGACTTCTATAACGTGTTGTTGTTCTAACCCAACAATAAAACAATGTTGTTACACATATCTCTGTACCTTAAATCCACGATTTCCAAAATGAAACTTTCTGCACACACTTCTTGGATCAATAACACACTAAAATATCCGATATTTTTCTTTACTTTCTTGCTGTGAATTGTTTTGATAAAAAAATTATTGATGAAAATGTGTAAAAATCACCATATTACTGGTCAAAAATATGTTAAAAATAGAAAATTTTAAAATTTTATTACAGTAAATTACTGTTACATTCATGGAGGGGAAAAAAAGAACTCTTTTTATATACTAAATAATAAATAAAGCAAATTTTGTTGCATTTTGATGCATTTTGCTATTACGATTATTCTTATTTAAATTACATAATATTATTAGATTATAGGGATCGTTTACTAAACACTTATCGGGTAAGAACATCTCCAAAAGCTTCTCCAAAATGGAAAAAGCAAGAGAAAGAAGGTTTTTTCTACAAATATAGAGATTACCCTAAAAATGATTATGAAGAGAAAGCACTTATATGGAACTTTGAAAATAAATATTTAGAGAGAAAAATAATATTTTAATAGATGATGAAATATTTTAATATTATAATCAACGTTAGATTCTCCAAAATGGGAAATCTTTTGGAGAGAATGTAATTTCTTTTTGGAGATTTTGACTTTTGGTTCTTCGTTTTGGAGAAATTTTAGGGAATCTGTTGGAAATGCTCTAAGTGCTTATTGATTGAACACGAAAAACACCGATAATATCAGGTAAGAGGCATAGTAACGATCGAGAGTCTTACCCATTAATGGAAAGAAAAATACTTTTACCCGATAAACACTTATTAGGTTTAAGACGTTTAATTAATAACAATTCATTTTGATGACAAAAAAATATTAGTATCTTAGATAATAAGATAAGTGAGAGTGTAAGTAGCCCTTAGTTATAAAAACTAAAGTAGGTCATTTTCATGTTCATGATGTTCATTAATTTGCATAATCAACCACATACCACCACCCACTATCACCATGACCATCATCATCATCATCCATCATCAACCACCATCATTAATTAAGGCATTTAGCTTGTAAAATTTTGATTTGGTATGAAAGGTTGGATTGAGCATGGTATAAAATCTTAAATCTGATCATGTTTGACAACGAATGCATGGGAGTGTTTAATTAATTAATATAGTCAAAGCTACAGTTGATACATGCACAAATCCCCAACGGTTTAACGCGGACATATGCATTAATTGCTCATGCAACTTTAATTTCAATCTCTATGTGCTTGTACACTGTGCTTTAACCCTCATCAAAATGCGACTATATAAACCACCCAGTTTCTGCATGAAATCATATAATTATACATCCACCAATCATAAACTGATTTACAGATATGGGGGTTTCTCAGAAATGGGTTGGTATGATTCTGGTTTTCATCACCATCGCTTCTCATTTGAGCGTTTTGTCTTTTGGAGATGAGAGTCTTGAGGGAGCTAGATGGGGTGGTAACGATTGTGGATTTGGTCGGAGAGGATGTAGTGGTGGAAGAGGTGGAGGTCTTGGTGGCGGTATAGGCGGAGGTGGRGGTAAGGGTGGTGGGTTTGGAGCTGGAGGAGGAGCGGGCGGTGGTATAGGYGGAGGTGGGGGTAAGGGTGGTGGGTTTGGAACTGGAGGAGGAGCGGGTGGTGGAATTGGTGGTGGTGGGGGTAAGGGTGGTGGGTTTGGAGCGGGAGGGGGAGTTGGTGGTGGTGCAGGAGGTGGCATTGGTGGGGGAAGTGGTGGAGGTGGTGGTTTAGGAGGAGGTTCTGGTAAGGGTGGTGGGTTTGGAGCTGGAGGAGGAGTAGGTGGTGGTGCAGGAGGTGGTGGCATTGGTGCAGGCGGTGGAGGAGGAAGTGGTGGAGGTGGTGGTTTAGGAGGAGGTTCCGGGAAGGGTGGTGGGTTTGGAGCTGGAGGAGGAGTCGGTGGTGGTGCTGGAGGAGGTGGTATAGGAGGCGGCGGCGGTGGAGGCAGTGGTGGTGGTGGCGGTTTAGGAGGAGGTTCAGGCAGCGGCGGTGGGTTTGGAGCTGGAGGAGGAGTAGGTGGTGGTGCTGGAGGAGGAGTTGGTGTAGGTGGTGGCGGAGGAAGTGGTGGGGGCGGTGGCATAGGAGGAGGTTCAGGCAGTGGTGGCGGATTCGGAGCAGGAGGAGGAGTAGGTGGTGGTGTAGGAGGAGGTGGCGGTATAGGAGGTGGTGGCGGTGGAGGAAGTGGTGGAGGTGGTGGTATAGGGGGTGGTTCAGGCAGTGGGGGCGGGTTTGGAGCTGGAGGCGGAATAGGCGGCGGTGCAGGAGGAGGCGGAGGTGCTGGAGGAGGCGGAGGTGGGGGTGGAGGAAGAGGTGGTGGATTCGGAGCCGGTGGTGGCGTAGGTGGTGGTGTTGGCGGAGGTAATTGATGTTCTCGGAAAGCATTTATGTCGTAGTCGCGTCATTTATATATTTGCGCTTCTCTCATTGTAACCGATCAAAAGATGTGATATTAATTAAATATAATTAAATTATGTATGACGGTTTGATTTTTTTTTTAATTATTAATCTAGATATCCAACTCGCCGAATAATCCCAAAACGACCACCTGCTTTGCAGATAGCCCGGAGTCACCGCATTTGAACCTCATGGCCACAAGATAATTTTTATTCCTACTTGGATTTGAACCTGAAACCTTATGATACTTTTAAACGTCGAACAAAATTATAGCCATCGATTATTTCTTGCCGTTAATATTTGCTCTGATCTTTCTTAAATACTTAAAACAAAATAATATTGATATATTAACCATATAAACAATGTGAAAGCTATATATTTTGCACATGACGATGACCCACAGTCCCACACCTTCCATGCTATTTTCAATCTTTCAGTGTTCGAAAGACCAAATATCCCGTAAGGAAAAGATCGCTGCCCACTCTCCCCAAGGGTTATGCATTTATTCTAGTAGAGACCTTTTGCACATGAATCAACTAACTAGCTGTTTTCTTCGACCAAATTAAATATCGTCTATTAATTATTTGTCTGCACTCGTTCATACAAACAGGATAAAAATGTGTATATATTTACCATGGCCAAACCTCGAACATGATACAATTAAGTTCTAGACCCCATTTGAACGTTTAATTGTCGGTGTATATGATCCTTGTTAAAAAAAAACTATATATCATAATTAACACAAGTATTATGTATAAATCAATCAATGAATTGAAGTATATATGGTGTAAATGTGATAAAAATCTCATGTCTTGACGATGATATATCATGTTAATACATATAATTGATTCACATTATAACAAAATGGATTTTATAAGACGCTTAAAATTTAGAAGCGTCCTAAAAAAATAATTTATAGGACTTAAGTTTATAGGAAGAAACCAAAAAACATCATATTTGAAAGTGTTATGATATGTTTATAGGATGATTTTAGGCATTTTAACGAGTTTTTAGGATATTTTTAAAATAAAATGTCGAATTAACTATTTTATACGACAATATTTGAAAAAATGTCATAGAAACACAAATGTTCTATAAAAAGAGGGTTTATAGCTAATAGAACACTTTATTTTAAAAACATTGTATGTAAAAGTGTTATAATAGGTTTATATGACACTTTTTAAATGTTTTAATAAGTTTTGTAGGACGCTTCTAAAATAAAGTGTCATATTACTATTTAATGCAACAATATTTGAAAAAGTGTCCTACAAACACAAGTATCCTATGAAAAGATGGATTTATATGACATTTTTCAAAATAACGACACTTTATAAACACAAGTATCCTATAAAAAGAGGGTTTATAACTAATATGACACTTTATTTTAAACGATCATATCTAAAAGTGTTGTAATAGATTTATAGAACGCTTTTAGACGTTTTAACAAGTTTTTTTAAACGTTTTTAAAATAAAGTGTTGTATTAGTATTTAATGCAACACTATTTGAAAAAGTGTTCAATAAACACAAAAATATCCTATAAAAAGATGGATTTATATGACATTTTTCAAAATAACACGACACTTTGTTATAAAATCGTCCTAAAATTCTTGTTAAAACGTCTAAAACGTTTTATAAACCTATTCTAACACTTATAAATATGACATTTTATAGTTTGATCCTACAAACTTAACTTCTATAAAATATCCCATTAAGACGCTTAGACAATTTAGACTATCTATAAAACCAATTTTTTCTAGTGTCATATATGTAATATATATTTATTTAATTTATGTTTTCATTCTCTCTTTTTATGTTGACGTGTTTTGGTGATTGGTGGACAGATCGATGACATGATCTGGAGACGACAGATTTTTTACTACAACAAAATTGAGGTTATAGGACGTCTAAAATGTTTAAGCATCTTAAAATAATACGTATAGGACTTAAATTTATATGACCAATTTATAAAACATCGTATCTAAAGGTGTAACAACATGTTTATTTGACATTTTTTTAACGTTTTAACAAGAATGTTTTTAAAACAATATCATATAGCTATTTTGTTGGACAATTTTGAGATGTGTCATATAAACCCGTTTTTTATATATAGGACACTTATATTTATAGAACTCATTTTTAAGTAGCGTCGTATAAAATAATTAATTAAAAAACTTGTTAACACATCAAACAATGTTATATTGTTATATAAACCTATTATAACACTTTTACGTAAGTCATTTTTTATTATTTAGGGGTCGTTTACCAAACATTTACCCAGTAAATGATTATCGGTAAAATTTAATACTATTATTTACTTATATGTTAAGATTTTAATTCACCAAAACGACATAGTATGCAACAATTTAATTACCCGGCAAGCGCTTACCGTAGTAAGAGTCGTCGCCTTTACTTACCGGGTAAGACTTTTGGTCCTTGTATCACTCTTACCAGGTAAGATTCTTGGTTCTTACCATATTCATCCGGTGAGGTAATGTTACTTGATAAACGCTTATCCAGGTAAGTATTTGGTAAACGACCGCTTAATCCTATAAACATTTTATAATAACATGTAGATATTTTGGATGTCCTATAAACCCTAAACCCTAAATCCCTGGCATTTTTGTAAAGTTTATTCCTAAAAAACAAAATCAATTAAAATGGAAATATTAAATGATGTAGTAAATATTAGTCAAATATAGCTAGGTAGCTAGATAGGGTAGATGCATATATATGTTTAAAAGACGATATTAAAAAGGCAAAAGGGTAGAAGAAGTCTCCGATGGGACATGGCAGCGATATATAACAACAGCGATCGCCATAAATGCTCATATCTATCCCTTCTCATCTTCCCATCTAACCCACTTATTGTAACGTTGTCTCCTTTAATTATTTTGATTGAAGTGATTAGTGATAATTAATTAAGGAAATTAAGCTTAACCCTAATTAAAAGGTAAGTGTTATGAATGTAGAAATGATTGAGTAATCAATTAGTGAAGGGTTAGCAGTGTTGATGATCGAAATTAAATGGGTGAATATATATATATATATATATATATATATCCCTACCCTACAAAGTTCGTTCATATCCCCAACGCTTCCCATGCAATAAATTGTGTACCCTAATGGAACATTGATTATTGCTGTCTGGTTGTATATATGCAAGTGGATGCCTGTATGTATGCATGTATGTATATATATAACCAAAGTTTGTGCATGAATACATACATCCAGTAAGTTTTAAGTCATATAGATGGGGTTTTCTCAAAAATGGGTTTGTGGGCTGCTTCTCTTCTTCAGCATTGTCAGTGTAATCACTCATGCTGATGAAAGAATCGAGACTGCCGGATGGGGCGGTAACAGATGTCGATTTCCCCGTAGAGGATGCGGTCGTTTTGGTGGTCGAAGAGGTGGAGGCCTTGGTGGTGGTGGAGGTTTTGGCGGAGGTGCTGGTGGAGGGTTGGGCGGTGGTGGTGGACTTGGCGGTAGAGGTGGTGGTGGACTTGGTGGTGGAGGTGGTGGTGGACTTGGCGGTGGAGGTGGGTTAGGAGGTGGAAGTGGAGGCGGAATTGGTGGTGGTGGTGGGTTAGGAGGTGGAGGTGGCGGTGGGTTAGGTGGTGGAGGTGGCATTGGAGGGGGTTCGGGTCAAGGTGGTGGTTTTGGAGCTGGAGGAGGAGTAGGTGGTGGTGCAGGAGGTGGTGGCATTGGTGGAGGCGGTGGTGGTGGAAGTGGTGGAGGTGGTGGTTTAGGAGGAGGTTCTGGTAAGGGAGGTGGATTTGGAGCTGGAGGAGGAGTAGGTGGTGGTGCAGGAGGTGGTGGCATTGGTGGAGGGGGTGGCGGAGGTAGTGGTGGGGGTGGTGGTTTAGGTGGAGGTTTGGGTAAGGGTGGTGGGTTTGGAGCTGGAGGAGGAGTTGGTGGTGGTGCTGGAGGTGCTGGAGGTGCTGGAGGTGCTGGAATTGGTGGAGGTGGTGGTGAAGGAAGTGGTGGTGGCGGTGGTCTAGGGGGAGGTTCAGGAAGTGGTGGCGGTTTTGGAGCTGGAGGAGGAGTAGGCGGTGGTGCAGGAGGTGCTGGCATTGGTGGAGGGGGCGGTGGAGGTAGTGGTGGAGGTGGTGGTTTAGGTGGAGGTTCAGGTAAGGGTGGTGGGTTTGGAGCTGGAGGAGGAGTTGGTGGTGGTGCTGGAGGTGGTGGAATTGGTGGAGGCGGTGGTGGAGGAAGTGGTGGTGGTGGTGGTCTAGGCGGGGGTTCAGGAAGCGGTGGCGGTTTTGGAGCTGGAGGAGGAGTTGGTGGTGGTGCTGGAGGTGGTGGAATTGGTGGAGGCGGTGGTGGAGGAAGTGGTGGTGGTGGTGGTCTAGGCGGGGGTTCAGGAAGCGGTGGCGGTTTTGGAGCTGGAGGAGGAGTTGGTGGGGGTGGTGCAGGAGGTGTCGGCATTGGTGGTGGTGGCGGTGGAGGTAGCGGTGGTGGTGGTGGTATAGGAGGAGGTTCGGGTCAAGGCGGAGGATTTGGAGCTGGTGGTGGTGTAGGTGGAGGAGGTGGTGGTTTAGGTAGTGGTCTAGGAAGTGGTGGTGGAGGAGGTTTAGGAGGTGGAATTGGTGGTGGACATGGTGGTGGTGGAGGTGTGGGAATAGGTGTCGGCATTGGAGTGGGAGTGGGAGTGGGAGCAGGAGCTGGTGGTGGCGGTGGCGGTGGCATTGGAGGGGGAGGAAACTAAAAGTTTTCTTTCAATGATATCAAATTACATTGTATGGATGAATTAAATTGTAATGTATCTAAATCATTTACTTTTATTTGGACAATTTCATCCGGCACCATTGTCATTAGGCCTCGTCTCCAAATAAAGGAGATTTTGTTCTTTGAAATATAACTTAATTAAACATTTATAATATTTATCAATGAACCATAAAATACTGTTTTTCTTCTATAAAAACTGACCATATACGTCGTGGTTGCAATTGCTCATGCAACATGTTATAACAATAACATCAAAGTCGCGACTTATCTTCCATTCTTCCAAAATAGCATACTGTCCGATTGCTAGCTTGGTTACATGACATTAGTATGTTAACCGGATTACATATCATATATTCAAAATGAGTTAATACATTTTTGTCTGTTCATCGTTAATGGATATGCTCAATTTTCATTTCATGATTTCTATAACGACACGTTTAGAAAAATATAGGTGTCAAACTTAAAAAACCCAAAAAAGCACAAGTGTTTCTGTATTTGTACCTGTACCTATCTACTTGTATATCTACATGTATTCATTTATACTCACAAAGTTATTTAAAATATATACTTTTATATCTATACTCCTACCAGTTAAAAATGTTTAAGGAATAATTATCAAATCTGATTCTAGAAAGCTTGATTCAATCATCAAATGACAAATATTAATCACTAAAAGGATCTGATCGTTTCATAACCGGTCTTTTAAACCTCACAAATGGGTATAAATCGGTTCTTTTTTTTATTCACCTGAATATCCAACCCGTTATGCAAGCCGACTAATCACAAGGCGACCACCTGTTTTGCAGATAGCTCAGAGTCACCGCATTTGAATCTCCGTGTAAGCTATGGTCGGCCTTGATCGGCCATTTCTAGTTTTTATTTATTTATTTTTATTTAAATTACATAACGTTGTTTTAGAAAAAAAAATCACTTCCACAAGTTATATTACTTTAAATTAATTGATAGTGTTATAATTTAAAAATATATAAGTATAAAGTTAAATTCTCAAAGTTTAGCACTCTAAAAAGAATCTGATTATTGAATTGAAAAATAAAAGATTAATATATATAAAATTCAAGTTTAAGGGATCGTTTATCAAATGTTTATTCGGGTAAGTGCTTACCAAGTCACATTAACTTACCGGATGAATATGATAAGGACCAAGAATCTTACCCGGTAAAAGCGAGACAAAGAACAAGAGTTTTACCCAGTAAGTGAGAGAGACGACTCTTATCACGATAAGTGCTTACCAAGTAAATTGTTGCATACGGTGTCATTTTGATGGACTAAAATCATAATCGGTAAGTAAATGATAGTGTTAAATTTTATAGGTAAATGCTTACCGGGTAAATGTTCGGTAAATGGCCCCTAAGTATGAATTGTTTAAGCCTTACATCGAGATTTTTTCATAACTAGTTATTTTTATTGGAAAAATTAGTGTTTATGTCCAAAAAATATAATTGAAATCGAAACGAAATTTATGCATTTGCATACATAGTCCTTAGTAAAAGCTACATTTGGTTATATTACATGTATAAAATGAAGTTGAGAACCATAAGAGTGGTGTTTGATTGGTTTGAGCTTGGCTCCAAAGATCAAAAGTACCAGAAGGTTCCAGGTTCAAATCCAAGGAGGAATAAAAACCCCCTTGTGACCATGGAGATTCAAATGCGGTGACTCCGGGCTATCTGCAAAGCAGGTGGTCGTCCTGGAATTAGTCGGCTCGCATAGCGGGTTGGATATCCAGATTAATAAAAAAATGAAGTTAGAGATGTATGAGAAATTGGCCACCGAAGTGACGAGTAGATAATAGATATCGAGAATATTGGACATGCAAAAACAGGTTGTCCCACATATGTGAGAAAGAGAAACTATGATGAGGTTCATCAGCGATATTCATTATTGTATGGAGTAAAACTTATTGAAGGAAATGGTCTCTTTGTGTGCCCATCGAGTGGGGGATGCAAAATTGGAGCGGAATTGGCTTCGACCATTAAACTTGGAAGACGAACATAACTAGGTCAATCGAAAGAGTTCAAAGAAGGCCATACCATTGTCTTCATGGACACATTAGAAAACTTGTGTTTATGGTGAACTAATCTAAAGCAACCTACCAATCACTAGTTGGTCTAGTGGTGGCAAGGGCACTTCACTTCCTAGGAGGACTAGTGTTCGAATCCCACCCTAGTCAATTAATTGATGGGTACCTCCTTCCGTAAATGCCTTGCCTTGGGCGTGCCCGCAAAGGTCCGATTCCAGGGGAGGACAGGTTGTCTTTTCCGGTGCTTGCTTATGAGGTATGACAAGTAGGGCTCACAAAATGTGGACCACGGGGCCATGAGGTCCCCGCCAATAAACCTTTTTTTTTCTAATCTAAAGCAACCTTCATCAATATGTTACATATGTGACTCACGGGTCTCACGAAAAAGACTGGTCTTACATAAACCTAAACATATATATATATATATATATATATATATATATATATATAAGTCATTTAGTCCAATTTATATTTTATGACCCAAAGCCTAAATCCAATTAAGCCAACTCCAGTTATCCAGTAGTCGATTGGAAATTGGAACCCTCAAGGCCTCAATTTGATTATGCCCCTTAGCACGATCGAAAGTTCAAAACCCTCAAATCTGAATTCAATTCTACCTCTTAGACGTTGCTGCTAGTTGCTACTGCCCGATTTTGCTTCTCGACTTGCTAGTTGCAAACCCATCGACTTGCTAGTTGCTACGGCTGGATTTTTCTTCTATCCATAATCATAGGTATGGCTTATGTCGATTGCTACTGCTTGTTTTATCTCATTTTATGCTCTTTTTCAGCTCGTACTTTGGTGGAAAATTAATAGTAATAGGTATAACATCTTTGTATATGATAGCTAGAGATGTTCTTGCTATAGTTATATCTACTGTAACATCTGAATCCGTCATTAGTACTAGCGATCGTATTCTAGACTCGTTTAGAAGCTCGTTGAGTCCAAAAATGGTGGAAGCCCTTGTATGCACACAAAGTTGGTTAAAAGGGAATAATGAGGGGATCCAAATAAGTGAATATTTGAATGAAATTTTGAAGGGGTGTTTGGGATTGCTTATTTAAAACAACTTATGTTTTCCTATAAAAGCACTTATCAACTTATTATAAGTCAGAAGGGTTTAACTTCTTCAAAAACTCTTTATTACCGATTTGACACCGGTATAAGTTGTTTATCCAAACACACAAAAGTGCTTATTACCGGTACCACATCAGAATAAGTCAATAAGTTGTTTTTATAAGCAATCACAAACACCCCCTTAATATTATTTATCGTATTTCATTTGTAAACTTTATGTATATTACTAACCCGTCAATCTAACCCAATCCATTATAATCCATAAGGTCGATTGGATTAAGATTTTTCAAACCATCATAATTGGATTGAGTATAAAAATATCCAAAATGGCTCAACCCAACTAACCATCGCCATCGTGGTTACCAAACCCCAGGATTCAATTCAATTAAGTGGACCCATGAAGTCAAATAGTCAACAACAGCCCCCTCTGGCTCTCCTCTTGGTTCGTCGGTATAACCATAAATCAATCCATTTCTAGAAAACCCCAAGTAAAATTCAAAACCTACTGTGTACCTCATCCTCGTCGGCCGGCGATCCATCCATTGATCTCGCCGCTGTTCACTACCCTCCTGATTTACAATCATGATTTACCTCTTCTTTTCGCTTTTATTCGTTGAAATGGTGACGATTCTCTTACTTTTGTTCAAAACCCCACTTCGAAAGCTTTTGATTATTGGGATAGATCGTATGAAACGAGGAAGAGCTCCGTTGGTTGTAAAATCCGTCGGCGCCACCGTCTTCGTCATCATGATGTACAACGTTTACAGTGTAACAGAAATCCAGAGCCGTCCCCCTGACGCCCTTAATCCCACCGATCAAATCATACTCGCTTACCATATGCTCGAAGCTTCTCTCATGGGTAATTTCTTATCTCGACATATGCTTTCTTATCTCGGGTTATGCTTTTAACTGATCGTCCATGAAAGTGATTCCATGGATCAATTTTGGGATTCTTTTAGTTGCAGCTGCTTTTAACTATTGCAATTTTTCCGGTAATATATATATGGCATGCTTCATTTGAAATTAGGTTTAGTAACTTATCAGTGCAGCTAGAGGCGAAGAGCAGTGAGGTTTTCACATCCACGAATCAGTTATTTAATTTCTATGTCAAACGAAGTTGTTGCGTGGTTTCTGATCAAATCGATAAACAAAATCTTAACGTGTTTATAAACGATCGTGTAATAAAGGTTCATGCCATATTTGTTTCAGTCTTTCTACCTCAAATAGATTGATGCAAGTAAATATTAACCGTTTTGCATTAATCTTAATATACTTGGTAACAATTCCCATTTTTTTTGGGCAAAATGTATTTTATATCATCTCAGCCTCTGTTACAATCTTATCTATAACGGTGGTTTTGATGAAAATTGATATTGGTATCATGAGAACAGAATATCTTGAGAACCAACACTTAATAAGGGTGAACAATTAACTCATTTTGATGGCAGATATGAATACTTTGTGAAGTTGCTCACTTGCTCTATTGTGCTATTTTTTGTCTCTTAGACACATCCTAAATGATTCCTTGCTCAGAAAGGTTCATGCATTTTATGCACTGCATAACCGTGCTTTATATCCAGATAAACTCCTGGAAATGGATATTGATCTGTACTTTGTCCCATTTTAGTTTGTAACCAGTTAGTTTCGATAATCCAGTGGGTTGGGGCTGTTTTTGCTGAGTGTTTTCAGTTGTTCATCTTTTTTGTAAGCCAGGGGTCCTCACAGAATCTGTTGCGCTACTATTAGGTGTAGAGTCATAGAGGACATGTCTGCATACATCCCACCTCATAAACCCTACTTTTGAGGGGAACATACCAAATGTGTTTGGTTTGGTTTATCTTATTTCTAGATGCTTCTTCAATGAAGTAAACCCCTGTACCCTGGCAAGGGGATTCAGAGTAGTATGACTTGTCTCAACCTCCTTGAGGCCCAGCTGGATAAAGAATGCTGAATACCCAATTTCTGATCTTACCTTTTATGGAGCATCACTGTTGTATGCATACTTATGTTGATATTTTTGAATTGCTAGTGTTGATTTGTTGCAGATTGGGCATTAAAAATGTTGAGGCATATCAACAATAGAACTATTGTCTTCTTCTTATGAGAATGATTTTGAAAAGATGGTATTTCTCAAAATCTACATCTTAGCCATTTATAATGTGAACGATACGATATCAAATTGTCTTTGCTGGATTAATTTGTTTGTCTTAAACAGTCACAGTTGCTTATGGGTCAGGAGCTCGTTTTTATGTAATTCAAGTTGAACAGTAGTTTCATTATAGCTTTATGATGAAGTAGTTTCACTATCAGATTCACGCCCTCACTTCCAAGGTTTCTCTATGCAAGTTAATTTATTAAGAATGCCATTTACTAGTTTAGAGGTATGGCTTTCCAAATGCAAGGATGTTCCTTCCAAATCTTATTTCTTGTTTTTCACTAGCCTTTCTAATCCTTCTGAAAGAAGGGAATGACACTACCCTCTGGAGCGGCCCTGCCGTGCGGGTCCCGTGACCATCATGAGGAGGTAAACCCGTGTCTCATGGCAAGTGGGGTGGTGCCTGTAGTCGAATCCCAGACCTCTCACTCATTCTACAAGGATGTCCACCTCCTTACCTGTTAGGCTAAAGCCGTGGAGAGCCTTTCCGTTCTTTTTATGCCCTCTCTTACCATGCTACACTATCAAACTGGCAGTTGATGAATTAATCTCTTATGGCGACAAAAGGTAGCAAGGGGAAGTTTTTGCATTTCTTGGGGGATTACATGAACATTTTCACCTGACATTATTTTTGTACACCATTCTACCTAGCAGAGGTCTTAGACCATTAAATGCAGACATAAAACTAGATGTATTACCGTCATCTGTGCTACGCTTATGCTTTTGTTTTCTAGTCAAGGTGTGTGTTAACAGTTGGATCAAGTGACCATGGGAGTTAAAATAAATTGGTCCCAAGTTCCAACTGAACTTGAAAGGCAAACATGATTACATGGTAAGTTGATATAAACCTGTTTCATCCATTAGACAGGCTTCTTCAGATGATTATGTAGACAGCATATTTGAGCTTCTGGTGAATCCTTCTTTTGGCTGTATTTTGGTTAAATTTTAATTATTTGATGCAGGATTCTCGCTTTTCCTGTCACTGATGGTAGATAGGCTACATCATTACATAAGAGAACTTCGCATACTTAGAAAGACCGTGGAGGCTGCAAAGAAACAAAACCGAGCTGCTGAAGATGTCAAGAACAAGGGTGCAGATGAGGTCAAAATCCTAAACGAAGAAACATCGAGGCTGCAGTCAGAGATCAAAAGGCTGCAATCAGAATATGAAACAAAGGTAAAAGAGGTGAAATCTGCAGAAGCCAATTCGATTGCTCTTAAAAATCAATCAGAAGGCTTTCTTCTTGAATATGACCGCTTGCTAGCCGAAAACCAGAATCTTAGAGACCAACTGCGCTCCATTGATGAATGCTTGTCTCATTCCAATGGAAAGAAGGATACATGATAAGGTAAGAATTCTCATTGTAAACGCAGTTTTTAGCATGTTACTTTATAGTTATTGGTGATTTTAATATTTTGGCATGGGAGTTTGGCTAAGTTTTCTGCTATAATCTGTGTCCTACCTGTTTTAACAAATTTATAGTTGCATCTACCTTGCATAAGTCGGTGGTTTTCACGAAATCGGTTTACCCTTTAGGATGCGTTGGTAGTTGTACACATGACATGACTGTAAAAGATTCTGTAGTCCTACGTTTGGTGGGACTTTAGATAGGGACAGAACATGACTGAGTTTTTGTCCCACCAACAAAAATAAGGGAGATGATACAAGATTAGTAAACTACTAAATTACCCATGTCAAATTAAAACTTTCACATGCCTACCTCACTCTCATTCGTCCATACCAGTCAAGTTCGGTCTACATACCAAACACATACCCTTTAGGAATTATAGTGAAGGACATGTCTGTATACATTCCACCAACAAAATTACCCCTTTCATCATCATCTCGCTTGTAGCCATTTTTACATCTTTGAAAGCCGATCATCTCGGTGAGCTCAAACAGACCTCCATGACCCTTTTCTTTCAAGACTATTTCGGTGGACCCAATGCCACCATGAAACCCGTCACTTTTTCTCTCGACCCCTGGTCCTTCAAACAATTTGGGACCATATTTTACACTGATGACCCAATAAACATGGGCATGGACCAAGAGTCAGGTCAAGTGGCTCGTGCCCAGGGGATCTATGTGATGGGTCCAACACACATGTTTTCATATCCATAGTGTTCAGTAAAACTAGGAGTTTGATGGTAGCACATTGGAGGTTCAAGGTGCTAGCAAGCAGTTTGAGAGGGTGAGAGAGGTGGCGGTGGTGGGCGGGAGCGGGAGGTTTCGGTTGGCGAGAGGTTACGCCACTTTGGGAACTGTTCATCTCGATTTATCTTTATCTTACTCGATCATCGAGGGCAACTTTACAGTATGGCATTACTAAAAGAACCTTTTTTTCTTCTTTCATTTAGTAGTATTCATTCATGTGCAGGTCCGGTCTCTCTACCAACTAATCCACTAAAATTCCACATATTTATGAAAATGCCACATTGTTCTTATATATCATCCAAAGATTTAGAAAGTGTTCTCAAGGTTCTCATCGAACTCAATATTTTGACACATCCCAACTATATATACACTTGATACGTTTTTAAGTAAAAAATTTAAACCTGCCCAACGAGTGTGTTAGGACCATTGGTTCTATTCAGTTATAAAATTTGGTTGAAGGGTTGGCTATGGACCTTCGGTTGAAGGTTCCAAATCGGTTAGGGCAGGTTATGGGTCCAACTAAGGGGTAGTTTACTAAACGCTTACCTGATAAGTGTTCACTGAGTAATTTTTCTTATCTGATGAACATAGAAATGGTCAAAAATCTTACCCGGTAAGCACAATGATAAAGATGGAGAGTCTTACTCGGTAAGTGAGGGTGACGATCCTTACCCAGGTAAGTGCTTACCGGGTAAATTGTTGCATACGCTACCATTTTAATGTACTATAATCTTACCCAGTAAAATAAATTATAGTGTCCTAATAGTAAGTGCTTACCGGGTAAGCATTTAGGTAAACGGCCCCTAAGACCCGAGCAAGTAGACTGTTAATCATACAATTCTAAATAAGTGTGATTTTTTACTTGAATATTGAATAATTTTATACCGTCTTTATTGTAAAGTGTTGATTAAATTCGAAAAACGGAAAAGCAAATGAAGCATGTCGAAAAGTAAATGACATCTTGAAATGTTATCAAAAATACCATCAGAATTCCCCTAACCCAATGTATATAGCATATCATTTGCATACTCTATTGTCGATATAGACCAAATTAAATGAACTCAGTATATCAGATCCAAAAGTAAAGTATGGGAAGGTGAGATGTACGCAAGTTTGACATCTATATCAAAGGGTAGAACAACTGTTCCTGTAAAAACTTTTGACTTGTGAAATTGGGGAAAAGAAAGAAATTCGTATATGATAAATTTTAAAAAGACATTAATAACATAGAAATATGAACACAAATAAGGGAAACTTAAGGTAAAATAGTATTACACCCTTAGGGGCTGTTCGGTTGTGGCTTATTAGGCTGTATAGCGCATATAGCTTATTCGCTCAACCATAAATGACTGTTTGGTTATGGCTTAATCTGGAAATCAAGAGCTTATTTAGACATCTTGAGAAGGGCACTTGTCTACATTCAGCCAAACTTTTTACTTAAATACCTTTCTTTTAACAAACAATCTCATCCTCAATAAAATCTAAAATCCCACCAACAATTAAAGATTTGATACTTGACTTTAATTTAAAGATTTTAAATTTGAAAAAATATTAGGGCTTGATATTTTTGAGAATGAAATTGTTCTAATTTGGATTTGATAGGATTTGGTAAATTGTTTTTATTTAAAAAGAAAACTTTGAATTGATATTTTTTAACCATTCAAAGCCAAATATTCAACATTTTTATCAAACAAATGATTTAATAGTGTTTAATATAGTTTGGGGGTAAAATAGTCATTTCTGACATTCAGATTGTTTATTCAGCACAACAATTGAACAACAATTTATCTGTTAATATACAGACAACTATATCAATACAAACAACTATATTCATACAGGTCTTAACAGAAAACGAACCGAACAGCTCCTTAGTCTAACTTAAGGATATGATAACTAACTAGTAACTCCCTAACCCTATCCCTACCCTCTACTGCTCCAACTTCCTTCCTATTGTTTATGCCATCATCATCTCTATTATGCTATTCTAATCGTTCCAAGAACTCCTATAAGAGGTTATATCATCACGAATGTCCAAAGTCGTCATATTCTACCTCAATCGATCATCTAACGTTCTCTTCGCTTACTCCCGCCCCTGCCCCGCCCCCGTCACCTCCTCGACTGTCACAAACTCCATCCTCCTCACTGGAGTCCCCGTATATCTTTTGGGAAGATGATCAAACCATCATAAGAAAGAGCATTTATTTTAATATAAAGCATAAAAAAAATGGTTATTGGTCCCTCAGAAAGTGCCAAAAAAATCCCCATCTTTAATAAATTGCCATCGGTTCTCGATCTATTTTGGGCCCCTTCAATAGCTGCAATTGTCACACAGGAGTCTCGATTTACAAACTTATTTTAAAAGATAATATATTTGATCAATGCAAAAAAAAATGTCTTTTCAAATCATTGGATAATGAACGCCGGTATTGATTTGGTTTATTTGGATTTAGCATAACTACAAAACACGTATTTTATTATTATTTTTATATTTTATTAATTTTGTAAATATAATGAACAATTCTATTTAAAAAAATAATAATTTACATTTAACGGTTTCATATGTTTATATAATCGACAAACAACTCGATTTGGTTTGTGTAACATTTTCAGTTCCGCGTTTAGACAACTATCATGCTCATCATATCAAAAAGTTCGGAAATTAAGAATCACGATTCTCTCAAAATATGTACGGTTTCAAAATCCAACGGAATTTACATTTTCTTTAATTTCACATTTCGTTCATTTAAGTATGAAGTAGAAAATTCAAAAAATGCAAAACAAACAACATATAATGAACAATGTATATGTAGTTTAACAAGAACAAAATATTACTTTAAATAACTAAACAAATACATTAAACATTATCTAAATAATTGTTGATCATTCCAAGAGGCCTCAGGTTCAAATCCAAAAAGAAATAAAAATCCCCCTGTGGCCATGGAGGTTCAAATACGGTGACTCCGGGCTATTTGCAAAGCAGGTGGTCCACCTGAGATTAGTCGACTCGCATAGCGGGTTGGATATCAGGTTAATAAAAAAAATGTTGACCAAATATTATATAATAATATGAAAATAACCACATTATTCTTTAATTTGTCATCTCCTAAGACTGAGATCCCAATGTTAAAATTGGCTAAAACAACAAAAGCATGAATCTCATTGAAACCATATAAAGAGCAGCACCACTTTGAATTTTATGAGTCAACTCATCATCACTTTATTCCAATGGCACCAATTTCACTTTTGTTACTTGTACCCTTTTTCCTGTGCTCCCAATTTCTGGCCACCCATTCCCACCAAACCACCACCAATCCTAACCTTCAACATTGGTCCCAACCCCTAAACTCCAACCCTGACCCGCTTCCCGACCGTCTTTTTCCGATCACTGCTGCTATTTCTAGGGTTGTCAACAGGGAAACACCGGTCCTGAAACCTAACCACTTCAAACGCAAGCGATCCGCGAATTTACTTAGAAAGCGTTCCAAGTCCAAGTCTAGGTCCCAGAAAGTTAGTGAGTTGAAACGATCAGTATCATATCACTCTCCTGTGGGTGTGCGTCTGTTTTTTATGTATTTCTTGAAGTTGTTCTTTTGTGCTACAAGGAAGTCGTTACAGAAGGGTGATGCGAAAGTTGATGGTGCGATATACACGGGTTACTCGGCTAAAAAGGTCAAAGAAGCGTAACGTAATGTCCATCTTGCTGACATGTTATAACAAGTAGGAAGAAGCTTCGACAAATTGGCATTATGTGAGGCAACGGCAGGTTGTCATTCTCGTCCACAAGTGGCTCAAACACCACGCTCTTCGAAATGATGGTGTAAATATTCTTATATGAATCTTCATCTAATAAGATGTGACTAATGATAAGAGATTCTTCTGTACTTAGCATATTGAAGATTGCACATATCTTTTACGGCTGATAGAGGTATCAAAGCCTATTGGTATTTTGTTTATTCCACATAGTTGTACATTGTCTTTTTCGGGTGATCTTATGTGCAAGACATTCTCGTGAGTGTTTGACAACGGAATAAAGTCAGTATACAGAATATGCATGCAATTATTTGCAGTTTTGAGATATTTTTTGGCTATTTGATGCATTGCCTTTTCGAACGTTTGTTAATTTTTCGCATAAGTTTTGGTTCATATCACATACACCGGAGAACATGTTGTAAATCTTTGGAAAAATGACATCTGATGAGAGAAGGAATGTTCTTACATATATAAATGTTTTATTGTTCGTGTGTAGCTGGTTTGTGATTCCAACATGCCTCTTCAAACAAATGCTATAGAGAGCCAAAAGAGTCCCTAGGTGGTCCTACCATAAAAGATACAGATTTAATGGTCCATGTCTAGCTGACGTGAGACTAAACAGTGTTGTAACATATTAGCATTTATGTTTTATGATTTACATGTACGATAATTATAACAACATTTAGAAAAGATGTATTTTTTTGTTATTTATTATGACTACTCAAAAAACCAATGTTGGAAGAGGTAAACATATGCTTCCGTGGAATTAATTAAATACATCATGTTAAAAGAGTGAAATAAAAATTAATTCAAAACGGTGCCGCAGCATCTCTAAGACTACATTTACATTTACAGCTATTGGTATACAACTAACTTTGGTGGCATCTAAAGGAACTACTGAACAACTCATCATCATCTTCACCGCCACTCATGGTGCAATCCACCTCCACCTACCGCACCTGCCACCGCCCCACCATTGCTTTTCCGTCGCCATCTTCATTCCTTCTGATTGTCATCCAATCGCTTTCCCCCTTTTCACATCTCCACTTTGGTATCTCTGACTTGTCCGCCAACTGTTTGATTCTTTGCCTCAGTGAACACGTGGATTGCGGGAACTCACAATCCACCGACGATCCTAATGATAATGATAATGATAACGATTCTTCCATTGAGTTCCACACGTCTTGATCAAGTATACTTGTCGGTGAATCTGTACTGATCATTTTTTCACAGATGATTTCTTTTGGATGGTCGTCGAATTCTCCGATAAATGGGTGTTTCAGAAGCTGTTTCGCCGTCCACCTCTGTTTTGGATCACGAATCAAACACTTTCGAACAAAATCCTTCGCTTGATTGGAAAACCCATCTGGGATTTCCGGTATTTCACCGGAAAATCCAATTCTATAAAGAACTGATACCGGATCGTTAGCATTTGGCCACGGTGAACCACCGGTGGCCATTTCAATCACTGTACATCCAAGTGCCCATATATCCGCCGGAAACCCCTGTTCTTCACCTCGTGCCACTTCCGGCGCCATAAACATCGGCGTCCCGCAAATCGGCGGCGATGCCACCTGATCATCATCAACCCACTTTGCACAACCCAAATCACCAATCTTGGCACCACTTTCATCGATCAAAACATTGCGACCTTTAATATCACAATGCACTACACCATTCGAATGAAGGTAATCCAACCCTTCAACTATATGTTTCGTATATCTCTGAATTTCCAAATTCGTCAACCCCCCACCATTGCTCCGATTCAGTAAATCAATAATCGAACCACCCGCCATGAACTGCATGAATATATTATAAACCATCTTCCCATCTTCTCTACTAATCTCACACCCTTTATACCCCACCACACGAGAACTCTTTAAAATCGACAAAAAATGGTTTTCCTTCTGCAAACTCTCCGATTGAGACAAAGCCACAGACTTGACAGCAAAAACCTCACCGGAGGTGGAGGTGGAGGTGGCGGTGGAGACGGTGGCGGAAGAACCACGGCCAAGAACAGAGCCTCTGGTCCACTCCATTGGAATTGAATTGTGTTGTGATTTTGGTTGGTTGGTTGATTCGTGAATGAATATATATAGTGGATGGTAAAAAAGGGTTTGTAGTTTTGTTGTTGAAAAGGTGTGAGGAGGTGTAGATATTTGGTTGGGTGTGGCAAGGAGTTGACGATTCTTTTAACAGAAGTTTAACGACGTGGCGAAATGTGGGTAGGGAGTGACAACTTTTTGGGCAGGCTAAGACGGCAGCTACGTGGCAGGGACACATGTCAATAACCCTTTGTTACAATTGGAAAATGTAATCCCTAACTTCTGGGATTTGGTTTCTTTAATTTTGTGCAAACCATACAATTTCTTTTTATCAATTATATAGTTTTATAAAACATTAACATGTTAGCTCAACCCACAAAAATTCATGGATATCTAAATCGCTTTGCGAACAGATTAATCACAAGGCAACCATTTGCTTTGCATTTAAACCTTTCTGGTCACAAGAAGAGTTTTGTTTTTCATTGAATTTGAACCTTGGACCTCTTGACATTTTTAACCTTTGGAGTCAAGCTCAAACCAATCAGACACCACTCTTGTGGTTTCTTATTTGTTTTGATCATATATATCAAAATATATTAATATAACGATGTATGCTTTGGCTAAAATTCAGTATGATGATGATTACTGATGACGTGAATGAAAGTTTATCAAATTATATTATAATTCCTTATTACTTGAAAAAAATGTTAACAACAATTGCATATGTAATCATGTCATCGATACGTTGTATTTATGCAAATCAGATATAATAATACGCAAAAGACGAGAAAGGATCGTGTAATGATGGGATACGGTATCTTTCTTGTATGGTCATTAGATAAGGATGTGAAAGATAGAGTTTTGAAACCAAATCCAAAACTTAGGGTTTGGATGCCTTCTTTTGTATTTGTGTCATATTAATTGACTTTGAAAACCAAAGGATTTGGGGGTTTATGGTAAGGTAGGAGAAGGTTGGGTTGAACCACTAAAGTGGTTGGTATCAAGTATTCCACTTTTTGGTGGAATATCCTCTCAAACTTTGAGTAATTCCATATAATACTTTTGTCCAAAACTCAAGTCTCTTTGTGCATTTATTCATTGGGTTGTGTTTCAAGTCAACATAAGTAGGTTTTCTTTTACAAATTGTGTGTTTGCATTTATGATTAGGTTCAGTTTCTCATAAGTTTTCGGTTTGCTTCATACGTTTCTGTGTCAAAACGAACCGACGAGATGTAATGAAGTATTAATCATCAGTATATTGCACATGGGTTTTTAAAAGCATGTCGTGTAAGACCTGTTGTACATATGAAACTCGTGTGGGCGATTACTTTTACTGGTTTTTTCTTGCAGGTGCATTAATGGGAATTGAATTGGCGTACTGTTGATTTGTGTGGATATTTGGTGAACACGAGGATTACTTGTAAGGGTAAGGATTAATTAGGATTTTATGATGAATTAGAGTAAGTAGCTTCTAGAAAAGAAGAGGTTGGTTTTGATGACTTGTGAAGGAAGGGTTGGGTGGACATGATTTGGTGAGTAGATGGGTGGTTATAACTTCTAAATCAAGATTATATATTTATAACGGTCCCCTTAGGATTACAAGCTTCCGAAGTAATCTAAACGTTTTCCAACACTCAATAATATAATTACTATTTTTTTTTCTTTCTAGATCTCTCTCATACACACACACACACATATATATATATATACATAGTAGAAAGTTACTCATGCAATGCAGCGAGATACATCTTGATTTTAATGTTTCATTTTATTCTTTATTTCAGTCGATGTTATAATATGGTCTCATGTGATTTTGAAAAAACGATAATGTTTTTATTTTTGAATAAAATACAAACTTGAAGATATTATTAAAATTTGACAAAAATATATCGATATTAGTATCAAATTAACTATTTAAATTTTTTATTTTTTGTGTAATTTATTAATTTAATTTTTTTATTATA